GAATCGCTTCTATGTGAATTGTCTCAGGAAGATTCTGAAGATCACCTGGAAAGATAAGATACCAGACACTGAGGTCCTTTCTTGAGCTGAACTGTCAAGCATTCAAACTCTACTGCAGAGAGTGCAACTTTGATGGGTTGGCTGCATTGTTTGAATGCCAAATGTACACTTGCCAAAAAGAGTATTTTATGGGGAACTCATGAGAAGAAGGCAGTCACACGGTGATCAGAAGAAGAGATACAAGGACACTCTCAAGGTGTCTCTGAAGAACTTTGGAGTTGATTGCATGACATGGGAGACACTGGCAAAGGACCACCCAGCATGGCGTGACCTCATCAAAGTGGGTACTGTGATCTCTGAGCAAAGCAGAATTACAGTAGCTCAAAAGAAATGAGAGATGTACAAATTTAGAGACATCTCCACCCCAAAATGTTTGTGTGGGTTATTTGTGCCTGACCTGTGCTAGAGCCTTCTGAGCTTATGTTGATCTGCTCAGCCACCGCTGGAGGCAGTGTAACTTGACTCCAATGTAGTGATGTCATTTTTGGTCCTCTTTGAGAATAAGGACAACAACCAGCCAAATGTGTGTGTGTGTGTGTGTGTGTGTGTGTGTGTGTGTGTCTACCTATGTCTATGTGTACGTCTGTGTACATATATGTATGCACATGCATATATACCTACACAGGCATACACATACATGTATATATATATGCTATCTCACATTGTACATGCCTTGATTTCATCGCTTAGAGCTTTTTTTTTAATTTTACTTTATTTTATGGAATAAAATAAGCATTTCCCTAACACAATATAATAAAAATGTGATTACACATGAATCTGCAAATCTATTATGTACAACTTGCTATTCCTTTTAGATATATAATACAATTATCATGCAAATTTCTATTTTTTCTTTTATTTTTTTCCCTTTACCCTCTCCCCTGCCCTGGAGATGGCTACCATTAAACACAAATAGGTGTATATATAGAGAAATGTGTGTATGTGTATGTGTGCATGTATATATACACATTTAAAATTCTATACATGTTTATTGTATGTTATATATTATATGTACATTATATGATATGTATTATGTGCATATTATATATACATATCTATTTATCAGTTCTTTCTCTGGATACAGATAGTGTCTTTCTTTATATGTCCTTTATAGTCAATTTGGACATCAAGCAAACACTACTGTAATCTAAAAGTTGCCCATCTATTGCCTCACATTATGAGAATGACCCACTTTTTTTTTCCTGGTCATGCATCATTTAAACTGTGTATCATGCAAAATTCCCTTTTGGCCATCTGTAGCAGCTCAATGACCCATAATTTCAATGAGAGAGAGAGAGACAGGCAGACAGACAGAGACAGAAAGACAGAGAAAGACAGAGAGAGTGACAGAGACAGAGAGACAGAGAGGGGGAAAGAGAGGGTTCAGGTCATTGAAGGTGTTGCCCAGCTTCTTCCCACATACAATCCCGAGCTCTCTCTTCCTCCTTTTCAGTTTTAGGCCCCGTTCGCCCTGTCTGCAATGCTTGTTCAAGGCAGAATTGAAGAGGAGGAAGAGTTCCAGACTGCATTTGGGAAATTGGTCAGTTTATACACATAAGACACATATATGCATACTACATACTACGTACATAAATATGTAACAGCTAACATTTGAATAGTGCTTACTATGTGTCTAGGGCTTTACAGTTATTATCTCATTTGCCCCTCACAACATCCCTGGGAAGAAGGTGTTATTATTATGCCCATTTTAGAGAAAAAAAAAACTGAGGCAGGCAGAAATTAAATGACTTGCTTAAGGTCACATAGTTAGTGAATATGTGAGGTGGGATTTGATCTCGGGTCTTCCTGCCTTCTGGCCAAATGCTCTATCTCTCCACTGTGCCACTTGGCTGCTTCAGCAGCTGTTTTCATGGTGTGCACGCGCGCGCGCGTATGTGTGTGTGTGTGTGTGTGTGTGTGTGTGTGTGTGTGTGTGTGGTGCTGATACTTATCATGAATATTGCAATACATGATGATTAAATAACTCAAGAAGTAATATTTCTTGTTGTTCCTGGATATATGATAAAGCCAATTTAATCCATTTTTTTCCTCTTCCTTGTGACTCATCCTTCCTTTAGGTACACCTTCCTTGTTTCTTTTGGTTTCATTTATAGTGAGGATGCCAATATTGCCATCATTTGGCTTTTTCTATGCCATTTGTTACTGGACAGAAATCTCACATTTAGAAAAGTACCAACAGTGAATTGAATGCTTATAGAGACTCTAACAACCAGGTGATCCTTAGCACTCCCTGACCCTCTTCTGCCATCCTGACATTGTGGCTTGGGAAGAAGGCTACACAAAACTTTTTTTTTTTTTGGTTAGGCAATGGGGTTAAGTGACTTGCCTAGGGTCACACAGCTAGTAAGTGTTATGTGTCTGAGGCCGGATTTGAACTCATGTCCTCCTGAATCCAGCGCCGGTGCTCTATCCACTGTGCCACCTAGCTGTCCCTACACAAAACTTAAGGACATTTTCTTTGTCTCTTTGCTTCAAGAATTCTTCTTCAGATGGACAGACCCTTGTTCATGAGTTGCTTTCTGCTTAACTAGATTGGCTTTTGGAAAGCAGGGATTTGCAAAGCTCTTGGGACACGAGGGTCACTTCCATGCCAAAATAAGGCACTGGAACAGGATTTTGTGTGCATTGCCTGGAATCTCTTTTATATTTTTCACATATCTCCATATTCCCCCAAGATCCTCCCAAATTCTTTCTATTTCCATCCACATTTCCCTTGCTGTTGTTCTGTTTCTCACTCCCTGTAACCCTGTTTGGGATTTTCTTGGCAAAGATACTGGACTGGTTTGCAATTTCTTTCTCTAGCTCATTTTATAGATGAAGAAACTGAGGCAAACAGAGTTAAGGAGACTTTCCCAGGGTCACACAGCTACTATGTGTCTGAGGCTGGATTTGAACTCAGGAAGATGAATCCATGCACTACCTAGCTGCATGAAGGGTAAGAGCAAGACCATTCATCAGTCTTGACCTCTTCACTGTCTTTAGACATAGCGAGAATAATAAGAGCTCACATTCTGTATCATTGCAAAGGTGCAGCTCTAGGTAAAAGCTCTTTCTTTATAACACTTTGATGAAATAGGTGTTGCTAGTACTATTGTTTCCTTTTTCAGATGAGAAACTTGAGGCTCTGATCATTGGATCTTCCTCCAGACAAATGATCCAGTTTGACTGGAGCCCCAAACTGTCCAAAACAGCATGGCTTAGCTACAGGGGAAGAGAGACAGGGAGAGAGAAATATGGGGGGGAGGGGAGGAGAGAGAGAGAGAGAGAGAGAGAGAGAGAGAGAGAGAGAGAGAGAGAGAGACAGAGAGACAGAGACAGAGACAGAGAGACAGAGAGAGACAGAGAGACAGAGACAGAGACAGAGAGAGAGAGACAGAGACAGAAAGAGAGAGACAGAGACAGAGAGAGAGAGACAGAGACAAAGAGACAGAGAGAGAGAGACGGAGACAGAGAGAGAGACAGAATGAGAGAAGATCCCTGGAAAGAGGCATAGAAATCCCTGGGTGGGAAGGGGGAGGCTAAACAATGGTGAAGAAAGAGACACACAGTGAGAGACACCTAGAAAGAAGCAGAAAGATAAACCTAAATATGGAATGAAGTACACACGTACACACATGTACATGCATATAGGTGAAATCCTTCCCTCCTCTGCCCTTTTCCCAAAAATAGAGGGAAAGAAGGAAGGAAGAAAAAGGAGGGAGGGAGAGAGGGAGACAGACAGATAGAAAGACAGACAGGGATAAAGAGATGGAGACAGAGAAAGGAAGAGAGAGAGAAAGAGAGAGAGAGAGAGAGAGAGAGAGAGAGAGAGAGAGAGAGAGAGAGAGAGAGAGAGAGAGAGAGGGAGAGAGAGAGAAACAGAGAGAGACAGAGAGAGAATCCTGGAGGGAAGCAGAAAGATAACACACGTGTAATGTTGGTAACATGCAGAACAAACTTAGGGGGCAGCTGGGGAGTGCCGGATAGAGACACAGCTGTGAGGGGCCAGAGACCCTGCTGGAGGTGGGAATGAGGCCCAGGATTAGAGTCACAGGCTGGTAGGGAACTGTCTGATCAGTCCAGTCTGAACACAGGACTATTGTTCTTGGCCTGGCTGCCTCCTTTCCTCATCCTTCCCTTTCCTGCTCCCCTGGCCCCCCACCCTGTCCCCAGGCTGGGGGAGGGGGCCCCTCCCTGTGACACACACTAACACAGTTACTGACTTTGTGGGTGTCCTTGGAGAGACTTACCAGCAGGAGGGTGAGTCAGCACAAACCTATTGAACTCAGGTGTTAGGATCCCTGGCTCTACCCCCTCAGGGACCCAGGCACCCAGAGTGTACCAATACCCTGTTCCATCAAGGACCCTGAATTCTGCCTTACTGCACCACATACACACACACACACACACACACACACACACACACACACACACTCACACTTTAACCTCTCCTCTAGCCCTTACTGTGTCTGAGTCTCAGTTTCTTCGTCTGTAAAATGTAGGGGTTGTATTCTATGATTGCTTATATCCCTTTCATCTCTATCTCCAAGATCCTCTGAGCTCAGGCATCTAGTCCTGCTACCATGAAAATATGGGCATCTACCATCTTCCCTACCCCCATTCACCACTCAGCTGATATTCTTTCTGAGATCCTGTGGGCTTTCCTCTGAGTCTTCAAGGCTCTTAGGTGCTCAGACATTCAAACTTCACCCCAGCAGAACCTAGGTGTCTGAGGTCAAAGGGTAACGGAGGGCAGGGCTTCTGTTGTTCGGAAGAATGTTTGGGGGAGGTGTGGGCGGGGGCAAGAACGGGGTGGAGAGTGAGCAGGGCCTGGGGCCCTGGGCAGGTAGGGGTTAAAAGGCGGGGAGCTGGAACAGCAGATGTGAGGATGGGCTTCTGAGAGAGACGGACAGTCCCCAGGATCACCCATTCCTCTCTGGTGGGGACTCGGTCTTTGTCTCTTCGTCTCAGGGATTCTCTTCGTATGTTTGTCTCTTGTCTTTCCCCGTGATTTCTTCTTCTCTCCCTCTTTCTGCCTCTGTCGCTGCATCTGTGTCTCACTGTCTCTGCCTCTCTCTTTCTCCTCTCTCTGCATGTCTCTCTCCAGCATGATAGCTGGATTTCACTCAGCAGGTAAGATCAGAATCTTCTCTTCCATCTTTTGAGCCCTGAAAAACCGGGGGGAGAGAGAGGGCCATGGGGAAAGGAATGGAGAAACTGGTTAATAAACTACAAAGAGACCTGAGGGATTCTCTAGAAAAAAAAAATCCCTTCATTTTACAGAAAAAGAAACTGAGACCCAGAATGGTCAAGTGATTTAGTCTTCTTCCTCTCTCCCCCTTGATAATTTTATAGGGAAGCAAGCTGAGGTCCAGAGCAAAGAAGGGCTTTATCTGGGATCAGATGAATGATTCAATGTCACTCAAGAGAAGATTGGATGATCATTTGGGGGGGATGGGGAGGGGATTCTCTGTCAGGTGAAGATTGGAGCAAATGCTCTCTGGGGTCCTTTGTCACTGTAAGGTTTTGTGATTCTAAGACTGTACAAGAAACCAGGAGTCTTAGCTCTTAAGGCATCTTAACATTGGAGAAGTGAATTGATGAGTCAAGTGAAAATTGAGGAAGAGTTAAGATCAAAGTCAAGAGATGGTAATTTATCAGAAAGAAAGTATGACAAAGGTCATTAGGGATGAGTAAGTTTCCCAACTCCTGGTGAAGAGTTGGGGTTGGAAGGGGGTGGGGCCTGTTTTAGGAACCAACCAAATTCCTTCCCCTTTCCCCAGGAATGGTCATGGAACTGTTGATGTTTGCCTTGATACTGGTGACCACAGGTTTGGAGATAGGGATAGGAATGGAGATGGGGCTTGTGGTAGGGATGGGATTGGGGTTGAGGTTGGGGTGCACGTGGGATTGGCCATAGAAATGAAGAAAAAAAGATGAAGATGAACGTAAAGATGGGGTTGGGGATAGAAGTGGGATTTGAGACAGGTAAGGGTGGGATGAGATTTGGAGTAGAGATGTGAATGGTTGTGGGATTGGAAGTGGGAATGTGAGTGGGGATATAAATACAGAAAGGTATGGGGTTAGAGTGGAACAGGTTATGGAACCAGGATGAAGATGCATTTGGGTAGAGGTCAGAGAAAGGATGAGGTTGCATTTGGGGGTTGCCTTATGGTGGTATTTCTTTTCCCACAGCCTGGGCTGAGGACAAGGACAAGCTTGTGGGAGAGAAGGGCTACAACTGTAGAGTGGGAGAACATCCCTACCAGGTTGCTCTCTTCTATTCTGACCACCTGCTGTGTGGTGGAGTTCTCATACACCCCCAGTGGGTTCTTAGTGCCGCTCACTGTCAAAAACCGTAAGTCGTTTGACCCAGTGATGGGAGAGATTGTGGTTATACTTCCCTATCACCACGAATTTGGAATTAAAGGAAGTGTGGAAGACTGGGACATTCACCTTCAGCCCCATTCTCTTCTAGAAAACTACTTTGTGTAGCATGGAATCAAGGGATGGTTGTAGTAACCCAGGGAAGGAATGGGGCCTCAGCCAAGGACAGAGGGCCCAAGGAAAGACCTGGATTTCTCTTTCAGGACACTACAGGTCCTCTTGGGCAAACACAACATTCAGCAGTGGGAGCGAAGTCAGCAGCTGAGCACAGTTGTCCAGGCTATCCCACATCCAGCTTATAACAGAGTTCGACATGATAATGACATCATGCTGTTGAAGCTCCCTCGGGCCATGACTCTGTCTCCCCACATCCAGCCTCTGGCTCTTCCTTGGGAATCAGACTGCACAGACAATTCCAACTCAACCTGCATCATCTCTGGCTGGGGCAAGACAGATGCCCAGGGTGAGTGTGAGGACAGAAACAGTCAAATGGAGGGCCAAATGGTGGGAAGGGCCAATGTCAACTGGAAGAACCATTGATAAGTGGTGATAAATAATGGGAGACATCACTGATAGTGGAAACACTTGGGGAGGGACCAAGAGTGCCATCAGTCTTGGGTAAGAGGGATGGAGAACAAGAATGAACTGGGATGAAAAAGCAGCATGACCGGTGGGAGAAAACAGTGGTGGGAGGGAACCATGATGATAAAGACCAATGGTGAGAGAGGCTAATAGTGAGAAAGGCCAGCGATGGGAGGGGCCAGTGGTGGGGAGGACCAGGGCTAGAATGTTGGTTGAAGTAACTGTATTAGCAGCTTCTAGACCTCTCCTGTGTGACCTCAGTCCCTCATCTACTTGTCTCTCCCCAGGCCATTACCCAGACGTACTCCAATGTGCCTCCATCCACCTGGTGCCTCACAAGACCTGCCAGCAGGCCTATCCCAACCAGATTACTGCCAACATGGTGTGTGCAGGAGACAAGAGTGGAACAGACTCTTGCCAGGCAAGTTGCGGAGGGTGAGGCTCAGAGTCAAACAGATAGACAAAGAGATACTCAGAGACGGAAAACTAGAGACATGCAGAAAAATGAAGAGCAGAGACCCAGTGAGATAGAGAGCTAAAGGGCACTTGGAAAACGTAAGTGACACCAAGAGCCAAAGAGTACAACAGTGATAATAATCAGCCAGTTAACAAGAATTTAGTAATCATTTACTCTGCGTTAGACACCAGGTTAAGTGCTAGGGATAAAAGGAAAGTCAAACAGAAGACCCCAGCCCTTAAGGAACTCACATTCTAGTGGGACAGTTAACAGGCAAACAACTATGTACCTGTAAGATATAAAACATAATATAATAAATACCATACAATACATTATATTGTTTGGTTGTTTTTTAGTTGTGTCTGGCTCTTCATGAACCCCATTTGGGGTTTTCTTGACAAAGATACTGGATTGGTT